ATCCAATGGCACTGATCGATCGAAGATTCAATGTTCGGCTACAAAATATACCATGTGGTGAATTTCTTGATGAAGGGCTCTGCAAATTAACATTTGTGAGTGGGGGAAATAAAGTGTTGATGTTTGTCTGGCTAATTTTTGGAAATAAAKTGTTGATGTGTCTGAATTTTTGTAAATTAAAATAAATGGAAATAAAGAATAAAAAACACATAAAGTTTATTAGTATTCTAAAAACGTATTCCAGTAGCCTAAATCGCGTTGAAAATGTTAATATCCTTGGGGAATTGGCCATTGCTTCATTACATATGAAGAACTGCAGAGATTGTGGAAGCAGAAATTGAAGATCAATTGCGTAATGCATTGACTAAACATAAAAAATCCAACGTTCGGTGCCTACCAAAAACGCACCTCTCTCCCAGAAGGAAGGGCTGAATTAACTTCTATTTCCTTATACGAAACAATGAGTCAGAATTAATGCATGGCATGCATACTGAAATCTTAGAAATGCAGAAAAGCATGATGGAAATATGTTGGTTCCCCACTCACCGGGATTCCTAAGTCGCCAAGGAGGTCCTCGGCTTCATGTGCCTCCAACCTGGCTACTTCCTCGATTGGACCTTCTAAGGTTTCTTCACCATCTATGCCTACATGAAAAGGAAAGCGCCAGTTACTCAAGAATAATGATGCTGAACCTCATAGAAATTGTCATTAATCGATGGTACTTGGATTGATCATAAATACACAGGTGTAGGATACTGTTCAAAGTGACAACGCAGTGAGGATGGAGCGAAATTAGAATATSTTCTACAGGTTCTTGTTAGAACTGCTTGCCGTTTAATGCAACAAGATTGAGATATAATGGATGGAAGTTATTTGTGTTGTTTTATTTACACCACTGTACACATCCTCCCTTTCTGCCACTTTACACTCACCGTTATATTTTGACTTTCCCCATTATGTTATGTTGCTACTCAAAAGTCACACATGAAATTAGTTGGAGTAACAGACTGTTGGTGTAATTGACATTGTGTTGACGAAGACAAGACAAACAGACCACGCAATTAGTATCAAGAATAAAGGAATGAGCAGGAAAAGAGTAAGACAGGAATAGGAATTCACGTTTCCCTTGATCAAAGAGAGTTACCGAAAGCCTCAAGATGCTCGCGCTTGAGATTCATATCTCCTTTAGTGCTCTGTCCTAGATAATCAACTCCGCACTTAGCAGACGACGTCACAGAAAAGACATCACCTCCAACACCCACTGATTTGGAGTCCGTGGCGCACAGACACACCGTCATCTTCTGAACTCTGCGGGAAGTCAATTGCTCTTTGTTTATACGGCCAAATAATCTGACTCTGGTCAGAGCAGGGCTCCCAAGAGACGCGGCCACTGCCATTGATCCAGGAATTCAGCGTGCTGCAAATTACCGAAAAATTCTGCACAAAACAGGTCGTTCTTCTTTCTTTGTACAGTTGGCTGATGTTCTTCTATTACAGCGGATGTAACCGGCCGAGAGAGCAGGAAGCAGATAAAGCACGTGCCGGTATTGTAAGAATAATAATTCAATCCGCATAACTAAGGTTTTAATTCAGCTTTAGCCCATTATGATTGACACCTCTCTAACCTATGAGATCGATTTTTTCACTCGACTTATTATAGCAAAAATCTTTGGATTTTTTTTAAAAGTAATGTTTTTTAAAAAACAAATGACACAAATAAGGTATATTTTCAAAAGTAGGGTAGTGGATGCGATTTCAGGTAAATCGTAAAATCGCAGCCAATGACTGCGATTTTGTGAAAGTCGCAGTCATTGACCACGACTTCGGTGTGACATGGCTTTAAGRATGCCACGTGTTGGGCATGCAGTTGCTGCGAGTTATATATGCTATATATATTATTTTGTAAATTGGTTCAATGGTAAGAATTGTGCAACATTGGTCATAAAGGTCATTATCAACCATCTATTCATGGRTTTGAATCCGTGCTCTGAACTCTATTCAGCATTGTTCTAAACGAATGTATGTTTTTACTTCTAATAAAATAAATTATATTTTATAGGTAAAATAAATAAAAAGTATATAGAAAATAGAAAATAAATAAAATATTAATAAAATAAAATATTTTATTCGTAAAATAAATAAAAGACTAAATAAATAAATATATAAATATTTTAAATGAAAATCGCGTTCATCGTACGCGACTTTCCATAAATAGAAATAAATGTTGTACGCAATTTCTATTTATGGAAAGTCGCAATTTCTATTTATGGAAAGTCGCGTACAATGTACGCGATTTGAGTTATTCTTCGAGGTCCACCTCATCTATGTCATGTTGGCACCTAAATCGCATCCATTATATGCGATTTTTGACTTTGACTAGCACCTAACCTATTTTTGTCAATAGTTTGAATGTATAACTTAATTTTGTAATTTTTTGTTTATACTACATTTATTTTGTTATTATTTTTAAATATACATTATTTTTGTAATTAGTTTTTTAAATTACATTATTCTTAAACTTTCTCCAAAATCTTTTAGGTATTTAAAAATATATCACCTGCTTTCAAAATTTTTAAATATAACAAAAATTTCAGTATATACTTATTTTAGTGGTATATTAGAGATATATCACRTACATATTGTAAGTATATCAGACACTGATATCAGTAATATATTAGATGTATATTACATATATATTGTAGATATATTACAGATGTGTATCATTTGGTTAAAGTTGTSATTTTAAAATTGGACCTCTATTTTTTTAAATATGCTATATTTGATGTGGTTAACCAGAAAGATTAATAATATTAAATAAATATTTATTATTTATTAAAATTTGACTCTGTTTTTTTAATTTTAATTACTAATTATTTAWTAATATTAAATAAAAAATTTATAATAAAAAATTTACTATCAATAATATAATAATTAAATAAAATAACATTTATTATTATTTTAACTAAAAAAAGATTACCACGATAATGTACCTGTAATTAAAAAGAAAGAAGAAAGGGTATACCAGCTATTTTTATATATATTCTGATTTCTAACCGTTTTAGAAAACAACATCAAATAAATTTTGATTCCAATTCCAAAAGATTTATRGTAAACATCAAATGAATARTATTTTCATTCCAATTCATTCTCATTTTGACTTTTGATAAGTAAACATGGCTTAAGGGCATAGAAATCAAGGAATGAGAATGAATTTGGGTAAAATACCCCTCGAGATTTGAAATTGMTTAATGAGATTTAAATTTAGTTTCAATTTGGTCTCAAAAGTAATATATTTGGTCTTTGAAGTTTTTTTATTAGTTTGTTTTTAGATACATGTATTAATTAGTTGTGAGGTTTCTCAATTTAACTTCTAATTCGTCCATGAGTTTAGTGGTGGGAGTTAACATATGTTAACTAGACTTTGTCGATGTGTATTTTTTTAGATCAATTGGAAAATATTACTAGTTTTTATTATCTTTAGTCTAAGTGACATTTTTCTCTCCAGTTTAACATTCAAATTACTAGGTTTTAATTTATAATGCGAATCAACAAGTTTCTCGGCTGAGAACTAAATTCATCAAATGTTCATCATTTTAGAGATGTCTCACTTTCTAATTAACATATAAGACCAACTAAGGCTAAATTCAACTTAGGAACCAATATTTGAAAAATTAAGTTCAATCTTCACGGATACAACATATCTCTTTTGAAACTTCAAGAACGGAGTTGAAACTAAATTTAGTTGAAACTAAATTTAAATCTCAGCATCATATGATTTTTTTTTTAATTACTTCAATGACCTAGTAGAAAATAAGTCTGAACCTTGGGACCAAAAATATATTTATACCCTCATCAAGTGTAATGGAAATGCCTCYGAATTACGAGTTTAAACTCACCGGTCTGTTTATGAGAAAAAATGCCTTTTTCGGCTAATAGTAATTATAAATAAATAAATAAAATCCTTAATTTATGAATATGATTGGATCTATTATAATTTAATTGATTAAGACATTAGTAACCTCTTTCGTAAGTTTTTTTTTTCCTAATTAAACGATATGTGAATGTGAGAATTCAAATTTCCGACCTCTTGGTCAAAGATATATGTCTTAACCATTTGAGTTGTGTTCAAATTGTCAACTTCAATTAAAAAGACTAGTTATATGCTATCGGTGCTAGGTATAGTATTCGTGTTTCTAAATGTTGAGGTGTGAATTCAGCTTTGAAATTATTTTTAAAACTTTGTTCTTTAAAGTTGAGTGAACATTTCAATAAAATGGATGTTTGGTAACGTCTCATAAATTTCTTTCTTTTTTTTTAATTGAAAAACTTAGGAGCACATATTTGACAAATATACATGTTTGTTGTTTGTCATTTTTTTTAAACGTTGTCAAAATTGTATATAAAATTTTTAAAACAACAAAATGTTTTTTTTTCTCATTTCCAATATTTTAGAAAAACATGAATAAAAAAATCGTTTTATCATTATTTAATTAAAATATATAATAAATATTAAAAATTAATAATAACATAAAAGTTTGAATAGTTATTTTAAAAAATCAATTATTTACTTTTTTTAATTTAAATTTAATGCTTTGACTTCTTCTTTCAATAAAAATAAAAAAKAAGAAATAATTATCGAACGCAATTATGTTATTTGTATAAAAAATAATAAACAATAAACAATAAACCTTGCTAGGCTAGTACATTCTTTGAGAGGAAGRTATGCTTAGTTCCCCTAAATTCTCTACAATGCTCCAAACCTTTTTCCAACATAGGAGTGTCAACGAGCGAGGGAGGAGATTAAATGGATCGAACACACATGAATAAGAAGCAAGCTTGACCCTTTTTTATTTTGATAGAGAAGATGGAGAAAGTGAGCAAAACAGACTAGTAAGTTTCTATTCGTCTTCCAGCAGATTCTCAAGATTAATTAGGGGAGGAAGGGAAAGTTTGAAAGTAAAAACGCGATATATATATATATATATATATATATCCTGAATTTCTTGAACTTGGTTCGTTACCAAATGGTCTAAATAGTCAAGATATCAAATGGGTCCAAAGTTGTCAAGATACTAAGCATTGGATAACAAAATTGAAGCAGATAACAAAGGAAAGAAATTGATGGGGCAATATTTCATTTGAGAACGGAGATTAGTGCTCCCATCTCTCCAARCGAATTTGGAAGCCATTGACTAGCCGAGCAGAGGGAAAGAAAGACATCCGATCTGCTTTAAGTTGGGTCCACCTGAGAAAAATTCACTGCACAATTTAGACCCTCATTCCTCTCATAGAGAAAACGTATGGACATATACTTGGTGCTGTAAGAAGCTTCCTAATTCTGAGACAAAATTTGAAATAATATTGAGATAATTATCATCTTACCTATACTTGGTAACAAAGTGGTGCAGAAATAAAGCAATTTGAAGACGTGCTAATTCTGCCCCCGGACAAAATCTGGCACCTCCTCCGAATGGAGCAAAGAATGGGCTACTCCTCCAATTCCTCGTTTYCTAATAATTAACCACAAATTTAATTAACACAATTTCAATGAATTTTAGGTTCCAAGGCCATGCTTAAATGGATTTACATATTTATGTTATATTCTTTGTCAACTTTTAAAAATGTTACGTAGACTAACCTGATTTTTAAGCTCCATCCATCTCCAGGGGTTGAAAGTTAAAGCTCCCTCATATACACTCTCGTCCAAATGTACGGCAGAAAGAAACGGAACAACAAAGGATCCCTTCGGAATCACGTAATCTGTATACCCAATGATATAAGCAAAAGTTGGTTTTCATTCTAGCTTGAAAGCCATTTTCAAAAGATACCTTGAAAAAAAAAAGAAACCATATGATTTCATCACAGGGATCTTAACTTGCAAGTCTAGTATTCTTGTTAGACACACAAATAGTATTTACTAGAGGATATATGATGCATCTTTCACAATCTCTAAAAATTTATTTAAGATTTTCAAAGTAAGCTTTTGTTCGGAACTCTCTTAGCTAGCTAGTTTAGAATGTGCTACCACCAAGGACTGTTATATTCTAAACTACCCCATAAATAGCTCTAAAACGAAAACACCACAAAACAAAATTGTTCACCTAAATACTTAATCTCTTCTTTTGCCTCTCTCATCAACCAAATTGCAATTCCACCAAGTCGAAGTGTCTCATCAATAACCTGTGTTGAAATAGAAATGAAATTATTCTGCGGATAAATCGAGTCTTCAAAATTTCACTGCGTTAAAGACTTTTCTATAACATTTTTCTTAAATGTTTCTCTATTTTTTCATCATCACCATTTTTTCAAAAATTCAAATGAAAAATAAGAGAATGCTTGTGAATGTTATTATTTTCCCCTCCAAATTGGCAGAAAACACCACATCTAATTATTTCTTAGAAAAATAGTATGTTTCTATTTTGTAGCGAAATGAGTTTCTACTTTGAATTTTGGCCTTGAGTATAATGAAGTTAATATTTCTTAACATCTATTTCTATTTTTTTTTAAATAATAAGGATACGAATTAGAGAATATTTTTTCAAAAGAAATGTTTGTTGTATATATGAAAAAACAATTTAAAAAAATGTTTGCTAAATTATATGCTTTTATGGAAACATAAAAGAAAGTAACTAGAGTAATTTATTAAAAAAAAGCAACTAAAGTAAAAGGGGATAAAGTTTTTAAAAAAGAGAAAATTTAAATTTAATATATAATCTAAAAGATATCATGATCTTAAAATTTTTTCAAACAGAAAATACTTTTCTAATAAGTCGTGAGCTATTTTTATGGGCGAACGGGAATTGAACCCCGTCCTACCTAACTCGAGGTAGAAATACAAAAAGAGAAAGAAGAAATATGTATATTTTATATATTTTTTTTAAAGAATAATTAATAGCTCTCAAATGATAAGTAAGAGATTTCTTACCACTCGGCGAATTTGGGAAGTATTAATTTTTTTAAATATAACATAATTGTAATTTTTATTAAAGTGTTTTAATTATTACTTTTCAATTTAACTTTAGATTATGCAATTTATTTGAAAATAGATATGAAAATTTATGCAAATCACTCTTTCCAAAATATGAGAAAAAAAACAAATGCAATCTATTAATTTTTTTGGTTTTCAAGAAAAAAAATGAATCTTTTTTTTTTCCCTAAAGCAGCGCATGTACGGAATAAAATGGTAATTAATATTTGCATGTTAGACTTGAAATACAGTTAAACTGTCAAGGGAAAACATGTGCTCAACAATGAGACTTACACACTGGGTAAAGGGCATTGATTCGTAATCTTGCCACGTGATCGTATTATCTCCATACTTGTTTCTTAAAGTATCTTGTTCATCCTATAAATTTGTCAATTCATGTAGGGAATATGAGAAGTATGAGCTTGTCCTAACGAAAGTAGCGACTAAATAGCTAAACACAAAAATGAAATGATAGAAATTAGTTATCTAATAATTAATGGTTTTATTTTTAAATCTCTGGTTTTAAAGATAAATTTGTTTTAGAATAATTTTAAAATCTAAGCCAATTTTGAGGAGTAGTTCATAATATATTATTTTTTAGAAAGAAAAAAAAATTATAAATTTATAAAATTTTGTTAGGATTTTGCAAACATTTTTAAGAAGTAGATTCATAATTAAAATATTGACTTAAAAAACAAAATAGTTACAAAATATGTAAGATGAAGTAGTGTAAATTAATATATGGCGAATAATTCCTTATATTCCGGAAAGACGAGACACATGGCTTGGGAGCGGGAGGAGTGCTGTAGATTCAGACATAGCGAATAAAAAGGCATAATTTAGATTGTTAATTGCGAAAGGAAAACGTACCAATAGTTGCTGCGTTGCTTTAGGCGAGTGGGTTAGGAAATAGACCGCGAAAAGCATTGTTTTAGAAGTTGTTTCGTTACCGGCGAAAAGAAGATTGATGATGAAATCTGAAACTGCCTCATCAGATAAGTTTTGCTCCTCTAATAGTGTTGCGAGCACTCCCTGTCCACTCGCTTCCAGTGCTACGCCCGACTTGTGCATCTCTATTTTCTTATTAATTATGCTTATGATTTGCTCCCTTGCCTAAATTGAATTAATTTAATGACATGACAAGTAGTCAGTAGACTTATATAATTAACAAAATTAAAGTTATGTATGTACAATTAACTATGTTAAGAATCCCACGTAGACATAGATTACTCATCTCATGAATATTAATATGGTACAAGAACTCAAAATGTTCAAATGAACATCTCTCTAAAAAATRGGATTTCGTCAAAATCGATGAGCTAAAATAGCTACGATCCTGAGAGAGAATATTCAATATCCCATGTTGAAAAGATAAGGGACATAAAAGATTTATAATAGACATGAACTACTTGATCCCATTATTATCAATTGGTTATGAGATAAAACCTCATAAATATTAATAAACGATAGCAGGATACCGTACTGGAGAGGCTATCATATATTTGGTTACCTTCATGGCCGTGTAATAAGCAAAGCCGGGTAAGTTGATAGGAATAGATAGACAGCCATCAACGAAGTCGTAAAATAACCGACTTATCTCATTCACTTCCGAGTCACTCGACACACCCAATAGCTGAGTTACCATCAGATTAATTGCTACCTGAGAGGCGGACGAGGCACAATTAAGGAAAGAAATTAAATACATATATATTAGTTTGAGAAAAAATGCAAAAAAGAAAATATTAATATTATATATATATATATATATATACTAGCCTTTCTGCAAACATCTTGTAGATATACCACTTGATGGTTAGGGAAACTGAAACTGCACAAGGTATGGATGATTATGGTTTGAATATGTTGTAGGAACGGAAAGTTGAGTACTTTGTGCTTGTGCACACGCATCATATTGCAGGCAATTGCATGCAGTTTTCTTTGTTGTTCCCCTTGTACTGTGATGACACCGTTCATCCCTACCAAATCTCTGAAAGATTTGGGATAGCTGGATTGGAACAATTTCCCTTCGTTTTGCATCACATAACGGTTAAACACTGGATCTGCGGATACCACTGCCCACTTTCCAAACACACGGCACGAGAAGATCTTCCCGTACCTTTAATTTAATTCCCAAACAAGAAATTAGAGGCTGGTCCAGAAATAAAATCAAAATCAACTCAAGCAGCTAAGATTAACCATTAATTTAATTAATTGCTTCTTACCTTTTGACCTGTTCTTCAACATACTTGGGGGGGTGAGAGCTTGCAACAGCACTGTACCAGTTGAAGCTATCACCTATAACAGGCCAGCTTCTTCTCCCTGGAGGAAATCTGTATGCCCTCTGATCCTCATCTCCCCCTTCCCTATACTTTTTATTTTTTAGAGTTCTTGCCAGGAATAGAATGGACAACATTAGTGTAAGAATGGAAAGTAATGACCACAACACGGAGGCGGGCTGCTCCCACATTATTTATTTAAAGCAAAAATCCAAATTAAAACCTGCAAACTAATTAAAGAAATTCATCCGACGACGGAAATCGCAGGTAGCTAGAGTTGTGAAATGAAACATTTGTTTTAAACACAACACATAATGCCCAGGAGGTAATTAAGTGTGTTACGACATATGCATAAAATTATTCCTCTGACTTCCGATTTTGCCAGCTGAATCGATCAGATTGAAACTGATATCTTAACTAATTTTTATTGGTCATCCCGACGACCCATTCCCTTGTCTTCATATAATCGTTCTTCCAACTTCTACGTATTAAATTAATACGGTTGACGGTTTCTGCACATGCCAGACAAAACCCAATCCAACCCTTGTCCTCAAGTTGTGTGCTCGAGAAAGACCATATAATTATATAATAATGTGCCTTTTTAAGCCCAGCTTTGAGCAAGTGGATATAACTGTTTTACCCTCTGTGGTCAGAATAAATGATAAATGTTCTTGGGGAAGCATCATGCAATGGGGCTACTTTTGCCTATAGGCCAGCGGCCAGGGCGGGACGGGGTGTCTCGTACATGCATAATGGGGCCATTATTTAACTTTAACCAGTCAAATAGATGTAAACCCAATTATTGAGCTTCTGTTATAATATAAATTATAGAAACACACCCCAAGTTTCTGCTTGAATTTAGGCGAAAGTATATATCTATTAGTAATAAACCAAAAGGGTTTTCAGATGGTTCTAAGATCCTATATATTTTATGACACCAATATCCAGCTAAACCATACTTTCGCTGCACCTATAATATTACGACACACTGTTTTTTGTCTAATTCAACCTTCCTTTATTATACCTTTTCTTAAGGTGGGGAATTCAACCTTTTAACTTTAAAAAAACCAATCAATATCTTATATACTTGGTGGATAGAGAGACTTTGACGTTCGGGGCACAATATCAAATAAATGTGATCGAAAAAATTTATCATTGGTAGAATATCATATAGGTACTACTGTGCCGGAACAAATAGAGAATAACTTTGGCGGAGAATAAAAGGGAATTTGGTTTCTTAAATCAAATATTTTGATTTAAAAAAAATCAAATATCACCTCATTTAAAATAAATTCACTAAAAAATACTACCTAACACCTCAAACTTCCATGCGAGCATCGGTTAGACATCTATTTTCTAAAGGTTAGAACTAAATTGTCATATTTGGAACTTGAAGACCAAATGGACACCTATTCTCAAATTCGATAACCAAAAATGTATTTTAYCCTAGAAAATATGTTTCATATGGAGAGTCTATTTTATTCTCRAAGTACTAGCAAAGGAGAATTTACTTGTCTGCATTGAAACCTTTTACTCCTAGTGGTTCGGCTGATGGCATGTTTTGGTCTCTAGAGTCCTCGGGCTTGTTTCCCATGGCCTCCTTATGCAAGTCCTCTTCGCCAGCTTTAATATGGATTGATCTTTTATCAGGCGATATGAAAAACAAAGTATCGAAGAAGGTAAGTTTTTTCATTTGGATTATCATGAAACGGAAATTAAACATGGCTCATGTTCTCCAAAAGAAGCTCTCTGCCTCTTGTTTATTGCCTTCATTGTCAAGCTAGTGGGGAGTGTTTGGTTCATATGTTTTTTCAACGTTCTTATGCAGTTAGGTTTTTGCTGTTCGAAGAGTTCAATTTATCTTGGGCTTTCAGTGGTGCAGCCATAGATAATGTTCTTCCATTTGCTCCTTAGGGCTGGATTTGACTTCACAAGGTTGCCTTTAATGACTTAATGCTATAAAGGATTTGCTCTACGAGTTATGGTTCGAAAGAAATCTCAGAATTTTTGAGGGTCGACCTAAATCTTCGATTGATCATAACTTAGCTAAATATAAAGCCTCACAGTGGTTGAACATTTATGTTCCTTTTCATTATTTCAACGAGAAGTTTATTTCTTGTGTCAAAAAATAAAATAAAATAAAGAACAAGAYTCAGAATCTACAAAGAAACGATCCAATTGATCAAGATGCACAATGAGGATTGTATCCATACGATTTTGCACAAGGACGGAGTTCGGGGTGGAGATGCCGAAGTGAGTAGTAGTAGGAATGTTTAAATAACACAACAATCTGAACAAATCAAACAACTCAACCCAAACCATAAAAATTGGGTTATATGGGTTGATTTTCGATTTGAGTTGGGTCAAAATCAAAGTGAATTATCAGTTCGATGCACTGGTTAGGAGAAATAGAGGTCCATTCAACCCGACCCAATTCATATACATATAAATAAATAACATTTTGTTTAATAATAATAATAATTATTAAAATAACTCTGCTTCGTGATTCACACAATTCCATCATGCTTTATCTCCATCGCGCTTTTGGAAGTAGATTTCATTTCCCAATTTTTTGTTCAATCGCCCAAGTACCCAAAAAAACACGTTTTGAACCATCCAAAAACCAAGAAAGTGTACTCTCTCACTCTGATCTAGATCCTCGGCTTCTCTCTACCTCAGAACTCGCTCATCAATGAGTTCGCTTCTATCTCATTGTCTATCTCACTCCATAAATTTCCAAAAAGAGAAGAAAAATCTACATTAGCTGCATTTCATATTAGCTTTTTTATTTTAATTAACCCTACTTATTAAGAAAGCGTTTTGAAATTATAAGATTAAAATTCTAGGTAAAAGATTCATAGTTGAAGTTACAAGAATGAAATTCTAAAGTAAAAAATTAATAAACTAGGAACTTCAGAAACCAAGTACACGGATCTCGTGAAGGAAGGATAAAAAGCAGATGCCTCTAGGAAATTCACATGTTCATCCACACCTCAATCTTCATCGCTGAAATGATAATCCTCGTAAATTTCGAATAATAGTTGCCTACAAGGTACAGAAGCACCAATCTTGATGCAAGCCAAAAAAGCACCCGATAGCTTGCGGTGAAGGCTGTAGGCTTCATCAGGGGGTGGAGTTAGCCTGTGCCGCAACATTGTTGCCCCGAGGTTCGAAATACTATGAGCGATATTTGAAGCTCGGAAGTCATAGACACCAGGCTTTGAGAATGGCAATCCCACAACGAAACCCGCTTGAACATGAGCATCCAACATCACCTCTGATTCCTTTCCTGTTAGAAATCCGAGTCTAGTTGACATTTCAATTACTGCATCTTTATCTCCATTTGCACATGCAACAACCTGATCAAATACATACAAAAGGTGTTGTCGGTACATATATTCAAGTATAACATCGAGTACAATTTGAGCTAGGCAAAATAACTAGGAATGTTCAACATTCAACATCGCTCTATTCATCCTAAAGGCTTAGCCAATAAAATCTATTATTCCAACTAGCAAAAGCTTCATTTCCTTCTTACCCCACAATGAGAAAGGTTTCCCATTCTTTAGCCAGAAAAAATTTGGCCATGAAATAGGGATTAAGTAGAACAAAATTGACTGGGTGGTAGAGTCGTGAAAATAATTGTTTCTTCCCTATTTTTTACCTTAGCTCCCCTTTCAATGATCAATAAACCAAAGCAAACAGGGAACTTATGTCAACTTTTACAACTTGTACAAGATATACKTACAATCTTGGTCCAGCTAACTTAAAAAAGCTATAGTCTCACGGTCATGGTTAACATAACCACCTAACTAAAATAATGATCCACTTAGTTCTTCAATGGTTACAGAGTTCTTTAGGTAAGGCAGCAAGCAGAT